GTGATAAGGCAAATTATTACTTTGGATAGGGACTGAATGTACTGGCATGACAGACTTCAAAAACAAAAAACCCCCAAACCTAAACAAAAATAGTCAGCTAAGCAAACAACACCAGCCCCCCTTTTTGATTTGTTCTGGCAACAACAGGCACCCAAGTTCTTATCACATGCCAGAGAATAATGGTAAGTTTTGGCTTGCCTTGGTTTTAAACCGCAGCTGCTAAGAGGAAAGCCAACAAATAGGGAAAGTGTTTATAGTAAGCACAAACTTCTCAGTGTACAAATACATGGGTTTTCATACCTCAACAATTAACAGCGAGAACACGCAGTGTCATTAAGAAGAGGGTGCAGCAGGGTACATTAACCCACCCCTTATTTTAGGGAGGCTGCTACAGCATGTGATTCCTTTATTTGCAGGACATGGGCCAGATATAAGGATCTTTGCGAACAAAAGGTTGGTATAAACAAACCTTCTCTTTGAGAACGTGCACATGTTAGAAAGCCAGCACGGGGTATCTGTGCTGGCAAATCTCACTGCAGCTGTGACTGCAGCCACAAACAGAACTTTATGATCTTTGGCACACATAGACATGTTTAGAAAGTACTGGAGAAGGCAGCTTACTTACTGAACAACTGCTGTGGTTGCTCTAAGCTTTAGCTCTCTGGAACTGCACAACGTTTTTCACAAAGTTTGGCTGCCGTACACGCACCCATTCCCCAGCACCTGACCACTACTAGCAAGGGAGGGTACCCCATTGCACTCCTTGGATTGGTATTTCCACCTAAGGAACACGCACAGAACCTAACAGCACTGCAAGCAGCAGGGTGTCCTCCCACTGAGGGGTCCTCCTTCAAAACAGTACCAGGACTGCAAAGAGATGCAGCTCCAGCAAGTGCTAGAACAGCCACATACAACAGCAAAGCCTATTTCAGCACCCTCTCCTGGGCAAAAGATCCAGGATGGTGACAACAAAAGTCAGCAGACAGCACGCACCTCTGAGCCAGCATTGGAAATACATTTCTGCTCACCGTCAACAACCCCCTGCCTCACATTTTGGCTGCAGGAAGCGTCTTCCCTCCTGCCTGAAGGCTATCCTTTTTCTTTGCTTGCATATGAAGTTTAGTACGAAAGGCTACGAGCATTGCTTGCAGGAGGCCCTCCTAACTTTGTATCCACTTAAATCTTAATATATCCTATCCCTGAAGTAAAATCCATTCGAATCTGTTATTTGAAGCACTTAAGTTTTAGCACCTCTAGGCACATCCAAAATCACTCCAGCTCCTACTGCAGTTATGTATGCCCCTTCTGAATCAGAGCTTTGAGCAGACATTTTCCTTCTACATAGTAGAAAGAAAGAAGGACCCAAACAGGGACTCGGAGTTTCACAGGGCTGCAAGCCCACCCTAGCCCCCTCTCACTGGTAAGGCCCCAGGGAGCCCCTGCCTACACCTTAGTCCCAAAGCTGCTGCCTCCCTTGGCTCCTGAGGCCTGCAGTGTGGGTCTTGTGGCTCTCAACCAGGTCAAGATAAAGTATGTGTGTGGTTCCCAGGGTGCGGAAGTTTGGCTGCCCGGCTCTGAAGCTCTGCACAGGAGCTCTTGGAAAAATGAGATAAGCCTCACAGAAATATGTAACAGGCTGCCTATTGCCTGCAGACTTTCATTCTTCTTTCAGAGGACCAGTCTTCTCTCCTGCCCCTTCCTTTCTTTCTCCACTGCTCTGGGATTTACTTGAAGACTGCATTACAGATATGTTTTTCTGCTACTGCATAATTAGCTGTTTGCCCTTGGCACACAGCTGTAATAATGAGGCAATTTTCAAGAGAACACATACATTATGTGCTAGTGGGGATTATGGGTACATATAGTTAATCCGCCTACTTTGGTCAGAAAAAAGAACATATCAACTTTACAAATACCATTTTCTTAAGATAACAGTTGTGAACAGAAGGTGATACAGATTTTGTGCTCTGCAATATGTTTTGACTGCAACTGATATTTCACGTATTTCAAATGACAGCAGCACCTTCAAAAAATTCCTGCAATGAAGAATATCATACCTGTAAGGAGACATAACATGTCTTTCAATATTTAAAAAACTGGTAAGCCATTCTAGAAGACATAGTCACAACTGTAGCTGCTACTTAATATGCAGGTCTTCATTTTAAGGTCAACTGCTTGAAGACACATACTGAGAGGTATTTTAAATAGTATCAAAAATTACTAATCAACCAGAATTCTCTCATTTTCTCCCTGAAGACCTCTGCTCTAGTGTCAAATGAAACTGATTGAAAATTTATTAAAGATTACAGTCCTTGCTGGTGGAGGCCTTACAGGCTTAGTGTGTGTGGTTATTTCCTCACTATTACACTTGTGAGACTGCTAGAGGTGGAGTTCTGCACCTATCGCTCTGTGTAGCCCTTCGTCCTCTTCTAATTCACCCATATCCTGATATCTGAGCATGGAAAGGAAACAAACCACAGGTGTTGTCATGAAACAGCAAATGATTATCATTGCCAAGAACCACCTTTATTCTTCTCTAACAAAGATCATGTGATAGCTGAGCAGATACAGTCATTTCACTAAAACATATCTGATAATTACATATAATTAATGATAACATTTATTTAAGAACTGTTAGTACTTTGTGACACAAAACTCCCCAACAAGAATAGCAGCGTGTTTGCAAAGCACTTTATAATCTAGGTCAGATGCCAGAGTCCTTCTGCTAAAAAAGGTGAAAACTCCTAATGTAGTCTGGCACTGAGATAATAGTGAGCTCACTGTGAGCTTAGATTACACAGGAGTGACACAAGGCTGCCAAAAGCATGTTTAAAACCACTCCTGATATATCAGAGCACTACATTAATGCCAGGGAACCGAGGTTTCTGACTGTTGCATAGACAGCTGTCCCCCAAGTGTGTTACGTCTGCTAGAGACCTCTCTCCCTCTTCCTCTTAGGGGTGGCCCAGGGTCTCCTCTGCCATCCTGGAGCTGGATAGAAAAGAGCAAGCACTACCTGCTTCAGCAGCAGCAGTAGATCACTGACAGAAAAGTACTGGAAGGTAACAGCAGTGCAGATACTCAACCCAATTAGGTAAATATGCACAGAAGTGTGATACAGGACAGAAAACTAGGGCATTCTTGAACAAAACAGGATTATGAGAAAATTAATTTCTACAGTTTATTAATTTCCCAGATAAAATTAGAGATGCAGACATCTTTCACCCCAAGGCCTGAGCATGGAGATTAGGCTTCTGCCTAATTACAAACACATCTCATTTGGTGCTTAATGTCCTGTGCCAGTATTGGCCCAACTGTCCTGTACTTCAATGATACTCTTCTAAGGAATTACACACTGATGGGGAAGTATGAATTCCAACAGCAAATGATTACGTCTTTTGGGAAACGTTGTCCTAAAAGAATCACCATTTCTTGGGGCACCTCATGAAGTATGTCAGTCACACATACCTTCCCAGACACAAGACTCGGCAGTCCTTTGTTTCAACTCTTGAGCACTTGATTTCTCTTCACGTCTCACAACATGTAGTGGCGTACGGGCAGGGGCACACGCTCTGCCAAGCTCCAGCATATCAATACAAGAGGCCGTAACTTCTGATCCAGCCCCACCTGCTTGGCCCTGTCTAGCTGGTAGAACTGTATTGCTTTCTCAGTTTTGCCAGCTGACCTGCTTTGGTAATAGTTTCCTAACTCATCTCAAAAGGAGCTGGATTAATGAAGATGTGTAAACGAAACTGATGTCTTCTAGCTGCAGGAGTTTTGGGGGCAGGCTTGGGGACAGTGAACCACACAGCTAGAAGGTGCCTGTAAGGGCACAGCATGTGTGCCTGTAAGGGCTAGAAACCAGATTTGACATCTACGCCTTACTACCATCATTATGATTCAAAATCTGGTGTTAGTGCATAATTTCCTAACTCGTCCCACCATTATTATGAATCAAAATCTGGTGTTAGTGCATAATTTGCTAACTCATATTGTACGCTGAGTGCTGTCTGTCTGTCTGTGCTAGTGCTGAGAATAGCACTTGTCTCCTGCTTACACAGTGAAGTCACTCAGTTACGTGTCTGGCAGCACTGCCTCTGCTTTGTGTTCTGCATTGGTATGCAGAGACACTGCGGTGTCGTGTTTCGTGACATGTAAATAGCACTATTTCCCACATTAGGCCAACCCCATATTTCAGTAGCATACAGCAATTTCCCACAGTAACCTGAATCCTTCATGCGCTGCACTAGACACAAGAAGAAAGGGAATGACAGACTCAATTCCATATCCTGAGAACAGCAAAAAGATACTGGTTCAGTCTGACGTTCAGGGAAGGACTTTATAAGAAACCAAATTGCCCATTACCTCTTCACCTCATTGACAAAGTGCCAGTAATCAAAACTCAAGAAAAACTTTTCGATAGATACTCTTAGAGATGCTCTAGACAGATAGACTCTTACAGATAAATTCAGATAGATAGATACTCTCTAGATACTCTTTTTATCTCTGTCTTGTCTGAACAACACTAGTACTATGATCATTCCTGCCAGAAAGATAAAACCCCTCAAAAGCCCCTTCCTTTCTGGATTAGGAGTGGGAATAAAGTCAGCCATCTGTTAAGACTTAAACTGGGTAGATCAAATATGCTTAATTACTCAGAGGAGACACCTCACATTTCGTTTCCATCTTGTGCTCGGTGTCATTTCTAGTGCCTGATCTTAGATTAGCCCTGTCCATCTGCACTCCTTCACCAAGCAGGCCACCTTCATATGCTTGAAAATTTATATTGGAAAGACAAACTAAAGCACACAGCTGGCTTTGTAAGGAACCTGTTGGAATGCATGGCTTCAACAGGGATACACACATTAATTTGCCTTACATCCCAGCATACTGACTTTGTAAGCATCAATGGAAAAAAAGTGTTCAAAATGCTCAGAGTGGGAGGTGCAGGTACAGAACAAACAAACACACACACACAAAGACAAAAAAGGAGCACTAACCTGGAGAAAAATGCATCACTGTTAATGAAGGAAATTTCATCTGTTAAATCTATCTCCTTCCAACACGAACCACCATCTGTTAATCGGAGGCTGACCTGAGGTATTCCATCTGACAGGCCTGGTTGTGGCACTAGGCACGTTTGGCTGGATCCTTCCATTGTGGACTTTGTCATCTACAGAAGCAAAGAGAGAGAAAAATGAAATGTGAAAGGAAGAGAGGGCCGAGCAGCCTTTTCAGATAATCTGTAACAGAAAGACATTCCGTACTCATGTACAAACAGCAAAGGATATGACAAATAATAATAAAAAATGCATATAACTCAATCATTCTGCTTGATAAAGACTATTTAAAGAAAAATAAAGTTGTGTCTATTGAAAGAACAGGGGCAAGAGTGAAATTAAAAAAAAGGAAGGTAACTAAAATAAACAGAAAGCTATTTTCTGTGTCACAGAAGACAGACTAAAAAAATTCCCATTGAATTTGCTTCTTGACGCAACTAGAGAAACAGATGGTAAAAGCAGTTATCCACCTCTTCTCAACCCCCCTCCCATCCTTTTTAATGGCAATTGATGTCAATAGGTGCCCTGGAAGGAAATTTCTCAGGCTGTGAACGTTCTGGATTGGCATTCTCTGCCGAAGCAGCCAGGACACAGAGTTGGAAGCTGGGCTCCCTAAATCCAAGAAAAAGTTTCCAAGTATCACTGAGCCCATCTACAGGAAGGCCAAGGCTCTTGCTCTGACCCTGCAGCAGAAGCATAAAGAACATAAGAAGAGACAGTGCTGCATCAGACAGGTAGGTAAAGGATGCTTAGGGGAGAAGGAGAGCAAGTCCGAAGGTCTGTCCCTCATGCACTGCCCCAGCTTTTGGCAGTCTGTGGTTTAGGGTTTTTTTTTTTTGACTTGGAGGTTGCACCTGGATCACTGTGTTTAACAGCAAACATTGAACCTAACCTTTGTGATTATGTTGTTTTCTCTTGTGTTCACTTCTGTCTTTAGCCTTTGCAAGATCCTATGGCTGGGAGTTTCACAACATTGTTACACATTGATTAAAATCGAGAAAAAAAGTACTTCTATTTTAGATATGGTGACAGATAGTATTTCCCTTGCTTTTGAATTATGAGAATTTGCAAATAATTTTTCCTTACCTACCTTCCCCATACCATTCTTGACTTTATACCGCTCCAGTAGTAGTCTCTAATCAGACAGAAAAATCCCAGTTTATATGGTCTCTCATTTTACAGAAGTCATTCTGATGCGTTTGATCTTTTTTTTCTGCTTTTCTCTACACCTTTTCACCTTCTACTAAGTCCTTTTTGAAATGCAGCCAGAACTGCAGGCAGCATTATGTATGTAGGCAGATTTAGTGGTGGCTTCTTACCAAATCCCAACTTTTTATTTGCTTTCATGATTGCTTACTGAGCTGACAGCTTTGTGACATTTCTGCAGTATCAAGATCTTTTTCTGAAAACAATAGCTAATTTGGAGCTCATCAGTATACACATTTATATAATTTGTGGGTTTGTGTGGACATTAGTTAGCATATAGTGACAGAAATTCAACTAATCATTTTTTTACCCAGTACAGAGTAAATTAAGAGCCAGCTTTTAGTTTTTCCTACCTTGAATAATTTTCTATTATCAGCACATTCAGGCTCTTTCTGGGTCATTATTGAAGCAGTTGAATAGCACAGATTCCAACAAAGATCCTTGAGGGACTTCACAGGAAACGTCTCTCCACTGATAAACCAACCATATATTTTTATTGCTTTCTAATTATTAATCCATAAAAAGTCTTTCCTTCTAATTGCAAGACATCTTTGCTTCTTTAAAAACCTCTGATAATCTTATCTAAACCTTTTGAAAATTCATTGACTACACCTATCCACATGTTCACTGGCTCCTCTGTAACAATTTTTTCTCTGAAGAAGTAATGCTGGTGCCTCCTAATGACTCTAATTACCCATCTGTTTATTAATTCTGCTGCCTGCTATAGTTTCTACAAATCTGCTGGACAGTAAGTCAGACTTTCTGGATCACTCCTGAACCCTTGTCATACCTGGCTTACCCTAAGATTTTTTGTAAAATTCTTGGTTTTACCTTGTTTCGTAATGCTTTATTTTGCTCACAGTTGTTTTCTAATGCTTTGTGTGTGTTGAAGAGTTTCATGGTTCTTACTGAGCTCTGAAGAGAATAAACTGAAAAATAATATGCCTACCAGAGGCAAAGGGAAACCAGAGAGATACGTTGAGAGAGCTTCCCAGTTTCAGCCTCTGGACTGCACGCTCTCGGCGAGATCCTACCTTCGTCGACATCAATAGGCATTTTGCCTGGAGTCAAGATCTCACCTTTGGACCACCACTGGCATCCAGCAATACTCCGTTACCTCTCTGCCTGCAGCAGTCACTGACTGTTGACACCACGGGAACTGGGCACACAGCATGTGGACACCAGGCCGTGGCTCTCAGATGCTACAAAATGGCAGCAGTGCTGTGATTTAAAAGGGGAAGACCGTGTCTGGAGCAGGGGAGAAGGGGAGGCAGGGAGCTACACATCGGCAGCATTACAGGAGGGAATCACAAAGGGAGGCAGCAGGGCCTGGGATCTGGAGGTACCAACTCACTGAATTCTGCTGGAATGGCTGTTAAGCCTTTCTTCCCCGCTGAAAACTTGCAGTCAGTCATTTAGCTCTTCTGCAGCTGGAGGCTGACCATTGTCTGTCATGCCTGCACAGGGACATCTCTCACTGTGGCCTTTTGGTGCTACTTCACCACCACCTGCTAGAGCTGATGCCACGCACACCAGAAAAGCTCTCCATCACAGTAACGAGAAATGGCGCCTATACACATGCACAAACCTCTGAACTAAAACAGTTCCTACACTGTCCTATTAGTACTTTACAGAAGCGCACATAGGTGTAAGCAAAACAGGCAACTCCTATGATGTACCACATATGCCAGCAACGACCGAAGCCTGGAAAACAGCAGGAAGCCAGCCTTTCCACCCCTGCCATACCACATGCATCTTGATTTTAAGAATGCAGTTAACGAAGCTAAATAATTTTGCTGCCAGGTACTGCATTTGTAGAATCTGCCTTACCCAACAAGAAGCACTAGGAAACAGGCAACATCTGCTGAACAGCGTGTATCAGATTCCCTCTATGCAAACTGTTCATGAACTTTACACTGATTTACAGAAGCTCCTCATACTGGAGAATTCAATAAAAAAACCTAGTTATTATTCTGGTGCTATAAAAGGAAAAAAAAAAGTTTTGGTACAGTCTTCAATTCTTCTTGTTTTCTGGCAGTAAAAGATCACTTGGATGCAGGCACTTCCAACAAAAGGCATGCCAATCACATACAAGCTCTGCAGGGAAACTCTGTTTGAAAGATCAGATTCAAATTTAGGATTACCAATGCACTTTTAGGGCACTTAAAATCATTAAGAAGTGGAAGCAACCAGTGTTCTCCACCCTCTGTTCCAGATGATCTATAAGCTAGTATTTTGATAGCTTTGGAAAACCGTATCGTAGCATTGTAGTTATTTCTTTAGCAATATAGTCTACAAGTAATGGCAACTTATATCTGAATTAAACTTACATCTATCTTCTTTCTGTGCAAAACTGCTTTCAGTTGCATCAGTATAAAAATACATGTAAGAAAAAGGTAATCCTTGAACTCATATGTATTAAAAGTTAAATAAACTTTTTCATTTAAGTAATGTGTCCTTAATCCTTATTAACAATAGGAAGGAACAATGTTCACTATCTCATTCTACAGTTTTTGGTGACCCTGTGAAAAAGCCACCTGCACAACTACCGTAACACCAGCACTTCACTGCGGTGCCACTGAGATGAAGATGTGCCCGTGGGTAGACAAAGCCTTCTGTAATTTGAATTCCTTACAAAGCAGATTAAAGAACTATGGACAGAGGCATCTTAAATGTTTTTTGGGTGGTGGAGCTCTCAAGAGAAAATATGTAGGCAGATTTCTTTGTTCATGCATGAGCATATGTTTCATGCAATGAAGTTTGAGAGAACAATACCTTATGAAACAGCAATGCTATAGGTCATTCATTATCAAGGTGATACTGGGAGGACAAGCGCATTCAGTTGTTAAATGATGGAAAAGAGAAGGGAAAAAAAAAAACCCACCACCACTTTATAAAGGATATTCCAATTTTCTCCAACACACCCCTTTTTGTGAGCAGCCTAAGGTGCAATCTTACCCTCTGGGGGACGTGAAGGATAGCAAGTGAAACCCTCGGGAGGGCTATTACAAAGGCACAAAAGAAATCTGTAAGAAGGTCAAGCATTAGTTTAAAAGGAAACAAAAAAAAGCCCCTATGGAAACTTGTAGCATGTTGTAACACATTTCTACAGGCTGTATCTTGTTACACTCTGTACCAAGTATTGTAGGAGGTTTGTAGTTACCTGTGCAGCACACCTTCATTTGCATTTTGCCCCCAGAGCAGGTAATCCACTGAATGACAAAGAAAGATTCAAGTGAGGTTTATAAAAGGTTGTGAGTAGAAGAATCCTCCCATTCCCCAGGTAAGGACTACCCTTAACTACAAGGCAGTTGTTTCCAGTTCATAATGTTCTTAAAAATATTAACAAACAGAAAAGAAAGCCACTGCCTATTCATTAAAATACCATCTTGTACAGCAGCTGTTTTCCTTCTCTCAGGAAGACTTTTGGAAACAGTATCATGCTTTGTGTTTTAGCTCACAGCCCTTCACGTTTGGTTTATGCTGCTTTTAGGGATTTTTTTTTCTCCTTTAGATTTAACAACAATCAACAAGCAAATGTTAACCTGACTTCATTGCTTATCTGTTTCATCACTGTTACGAAGTCTAGTTGGAGGCAAATAACTAGCCTTAATGATCTGGATGATGGGGCAGAGTGTACCATCAGCAAGTTTGTGAATGACACAAAACTGGGAGGAGTGACTGACATGAGGGTCACGCTGCCATCCAGAGGGACCTCAACAGGCTGGAGAAATGGGCTGACAACAACCTCATCCAGTTCAACAAGGGGAAATGCAAACTCCTGCACCTCAGGAAGAATAACCAGTACATGCTAGGGGCTACCCAGCTGGAAAGCAACTTGGTAGAGAAGGACCTGGGAGTCCTGGTGGACAACAAGTTGACCATGAGCCAGCAATGTGCCCTTGCT